GTGAAAGTACTTAAGTCCACAGTGACAGATTTTCGTTGGTTCAGATGATCATGACAACTATTAATGTCAACAGGTTGGTACCGCCATTTATCTTTTCATTCTAGGCTCTGAAACCTGGAAATAGGCAGGCTGATGCATGCTTGTCTGGAGCTAGCCCACCGGGCCAGTCATGGTCTCATCCCCAGAGGATAGGCCTGAGAACTCAGCCGGTTCATCCTAAAGCCCTACCCCCTCTTCTCTGTGGCCACACCCAAGGAACCATGTTGGCCTCCCCTGTCCCCCCACCTCGACTCCCACCTTCTGAAGGTCCAGAGATGTGGTTCCTGGATGGTCTGACTCTCCACTCTTGCCTCTACCCACTACCCATGTCTTGGTACCCCAGGGGGCAAAGGGCTGGGTCAGTTACTTAAGAATCCTTCTGGCCACATTCCCTCCTGGCCTGTCCTGGAGGCAAAAGAAGGGGAGGTAAGGGGTCACACACTGGTGAAGGGCAGAGGGCCACAGTAGGACTGCGTGCTATCTGCATTCTCCTGAGCCTGTAGGCAAGACAGGCTGGCCTTCCACTTAGACCTTGGAACCTTCCAGAGGGGAGTAGGGTGGGAACTCACCGAGACAAAGTAGGGGCCAGCGAAGTCCCGAATGACTCCTGTGGAGGTGCAGATACCCATGTGGCCAATGATGGGAAAAAACCACCTACAAGGAAAAAGAACAGGGAAAGGACAGAGCTTAGGGGGCCTTTCAGCCAGTTAGATAGTTGGGAACATTCAATTCAGTGTATGCATGTGAATATAACATAGAATGACAAAAGTGTGTTGGGGCTGTCCAGAGAGGTGCACAGCACAGGGGATACCGCTGCACCCCACCAGAATGGCTAGAATGCAAGGCAGCAACGCCAAGTGCAGGTGAGGGTGAGGCACACCCAGGGCTCTCACTCGCTGCTGGCGGAGTATGAACATTTCCACCACTTTGGTATTACACTCTACGCCTCAGCAATTCCACTGCAGGGACCTCTTTTGCCCTTACTCTTGGAAAACAACATTTGCCAAAACTCACTGACGTGTACTCTTAAAATGGGTGCATTTTATTGTCTGTAAACTATATCTCAATAAAGTTGATCCAAAAAACCCAGAAATGATCCAAATGTCCAACAAGAGTAAAAATGAATATGTGAACTGTGATACACTCATACACTGAAATAGTATGTAACAATGGAAGAGAACTTCTGCTATATACGACAGTCTTCCACAGACGTCCTTTGTCTGGAAGGCAGTTACGGAGTATGTATATATGCAAAAATTCACTGAGCTAGATTCACTAAGATTTGTGTACCTTCAGGTATATAAGTTATACCTCAATAAGAAAGTTAAAAACAAAAGGTGTAGCTCAGTGCCTGTGGCTCAAGCGGCTAAGGCGCCAGCCAC